TGAAAAATGTCTTTACGTTCGATTTTTATCTTAACATATTCGTTCTCACATCCCCTTTCCAGCGATACCTTACACATTGTTATACAGTTGTTTAGACGTTTTAATCTTAGGACTTTTTTGGCATTGTGTCTGCGTTTGCTTTTATCTTAACATATTTGTTCTCACCTCTGCTTTCCATCGATACCTTACACATTGTTATACGTTGGATTGTTTAGACGTTTTAATGTTAGTATCCTTTTATCAATGTCTTTGCTTTTTATTTTTTCTAACCATATTCATTTCCGCCTACCCTTTTCATCGATACCTTGCACGTTGTCGTACGTTGAGTTGTTTAGACTTTTCAAGCTTACTATCGTTTTGACGTTGTCTTTACATTTGATTTTTATCAACATATTCTTTCCTACCTCCTCTTTTCATCGATACCATTTACGTTGAGTTGGTTCGACTTAAGCTTACTGTTCTTCTATCAATGTCTTTATGTTTGATTTTTATCTTAACATATTTATTAACATCTTCCCTTTCCATCGATACCTTGCACGTTATTGTACGGTAAGTTATTTAGACGTTTCAAGTTTAATGTTCTTTTGGGAATGTCTTTACGTTTGTACGTTTGATTTTAATCATAACATATTTGTTCTCACCTTCCCTTTCTAGCGATACCTTGCCCGTTGTCGTACGTTGCGTTGTTTAGACGTTTCGAGCTTAATGTCCTTTTGGAAATGTCTTTACGTTTGATTTTTATCTTAACATATTTGTTCTTACATCCCCTTTCCAGCGATACCTTACACGTTGTCTTACGTTGGGTTGTTTAGACGTTTCAAGCTTATTGTCCTTTTGGCAATGTCTTTGTGTTTTATTTTTATGTTCACACATTCATTTTGACCTACCCTTTCATCAAATACTTGTAGGTTGTTGTACGTTGTGTTAATTGGACGTTTCAATCTTAGTGTCCTTTTGGGAATGTCTTTACGTTTGTAAGTTTGATTTTTATCATACCATATTTGCTCTCACCTTCCCTTTTTAGCGATACCTTACACGTTGTCGTACGGTGCGTTGTTTAGACATTTCGAGCATAATGTCCTTTTGGAAATGTCTTTACGTTTAATTTTTATCTTAACATATTCGTTCTCACATCCCCTTTCCAGCGATACCTTACACGTTGTCCTACGTTGGGTTGTTTAGACGATGAAAGCTTATTGCGCTTTTGGCAATGTCTTTGTGTTTTATTTTTTTCTTCACATATTCATTTTCACCTACCCTTTTATCAAATACTTGTACGTTGTTATACTTTGAGTTGATTGGACGTTTCAATCTTAGTGTCCTTTTTGACATGTCTTTACGTTTGATTTTTATCTTAATATATTCGTTTTATCCTCCCCTTTCCATCTATACCATGCACGTTGTCGTATGTTGTTTTTTAGACGTTTCAAGCTTAGTGTCCTTTTCTCAATGTCTTTACGTTTGATATTTATTTTAATCTATCGATACCTTGTACGTTGGTGTACGTTAAGTTGTTTATACGTTACTAGCTTAGTGTCCTTTTGGCAATGTCTTTACATTTGATATTTATTTTGATATATTCGTACTCACCTCCCCTTTCCATCGATATCTCACACATTGTTATACGTTGAGCCGTCTAGACGTTTCAAGCCTGGTGCCGATTTGACAATAACTTTTGCGTTTTATTTTTATCTTAACCTATCCATTGCCATCTCCCTTTTCCATCGATACGTTGCCAGTTGTTGTACGTTGAGCTATTTGGATGTTACAAGCTTAGTGTCGTTTGGACAATGTCTTTGCGTTTTATTTTTATCTTGCAATATTCGATACCATTTACCTTATTCATCATCACCTTGCACGTTGTTGTAAATTGAGCCATTTGCACGTTACAAGCCTAGTGCCGGTTTGGCAATGTCTTTGCGTTTTCTTTTTATCTTAACATATTCGTTACCACCTCACCTTTTCATCGATACCTTACACATTGTTGTACGTTGAGCCATTTGGATGTTACAAGCTTAGTGTCCTTTTGGCACTGTCTTTTGCGTTTGTTTTTGTGTTGACGTATTCGGTACTCTTTCCCCTTTTCAACGATACCTTGAACGTTGTTGTACGCTAAGTTGTTTAGACGTTACAAGCTTAGTGTCCTTTTGGTATTGTCTTCTGCGTTTGTTTTTGTGTTAACGTATTCGCTACTCCCTCCCCCTTTTTAACAATACCTTGCACATGGTTGTACGTTAAGCCGTTTAGATGTTACAATACTATGTCTTCATCCTGTTTTGCTAACAAATACACAATTTGAATATTAATATTTTTACATTGCTAATTTTATATATCACCCGAATTGTCATAGTCACAACTCACCATTTGTATTTGCTAATTTTGTATATAACCCGAATTGACATAGGTAGGATATAGTATGCAACTCACAATACATTTGTATTCTATAATTTTTATAATATTACTCGAACTGCCGTGGATACGCATATACAGAATAATAGTGCTGACTAGTAATGTAAGTTCCGTGTATAGTAGTACTTAATCAGAGAATGTTTGTTGGTTTGGTCATACTGTAAGAATAATATATGTTCTTCGATTCATGTTTTATTTCTAGTATACCACACACGTTGTTGCGCGTTATATCGTTTTCAGCGTCACCTTTCGCATTGTTTCGAGAGAGAGAGAGAGAGAGAGAGAGAGAGAGAGAGCTGTGTGTCTTTTTTACGATGTCAGGTGCTAGATGTGGTCGAGAGGTGGCGTGACGAGACGATGAACTGTATTATTCGTGGAATCCCATTCAAACTATGTCCAATATTTGATATAGCACCGTTTTTGACGATGATTCTCTGTTAGCCTCACTTTCCTCAAATGTCTATTATGCTAAACAAAGATCCGATATAGCGGCGTTTTGGTCATTGTCTTTTGTCTTAACATATTTCCCGTCACCTCCCCTTTTCATTTAACGTATTACACGTAGTAATCTGACTAATAACAACAGAGATAGGACATAGCGTCGTTTGGCACGGTCTTTGCGTCTGCTTTTTGTCTTAACATATTCCACCTCCCTTTCCATCACTACCTCTCACGTTGAGCCGTTTGGACGTTACAAGCTAGCGTCGATGTCTTTGCGTTTTATCTTAACATATTCGTTACCACCTCCCCGTTCCAACAATACCTCACACGTTATTGTACGTTGAGTAGTTCAGACGTTGCAAGCTTAGTGTCCTTTTGGTATTATCTTTTGCGTTTTGTTTTTATCTAAACATATTCGTTACCACCTCCCCGTTCCACAGAGCCCTCGTACGTTGTTGTACGTTGAGTCGTTTGGATGTTACAAGCTTAGTGTCCTTTTGGTATTGTCTTTTGCGTTTTGTTTTTATCTAAACATATTCGTTACCCTCTCCCCTTTCCATCGATACCTCACACTTTGAGCCGTTTAGACGTTACAAGCTTAGTGTCCTTTTGGCATTGTCTTTTGCGTTTTGTTTTTATCTAAAAATATTCTTTACCACCTCCCCTTTTCATCGATACCTCACACATTGTTGTACGTTGAGCCGTTTAGACGTTACAAGCTTAGTGTCCTTTTGGCATTGTCTTTTGCGTTTTGTTTTTATCTAAACATATTCTTTACCACCTCCCCTTTTCATCGATACCTCACACATTGTTGTACGTTGAGCCGTTTGGATGTTACAAGCTTAGTGTCCTTTTGGCATTGTCTTTTACGTTTTGTTTTTATTTAAACATATTCGTTACCACCTCCCCTTTTCATCGATACCTCACACATTGATGTACGTTGAGCCGTTTGGATGTTACAAGCTTAGTGTCCTTCTGGCATTGTCTTTTGCGTTTGCTTTTTATGCTAATATATTCATTACCACCTCCCCTTTCCATCGATACCTCACACGTTGTTGTACGTTGAGCCGTTTGGACGTTGCAAGCTTAGTGTCCTTTTGGCACTGTCTTTTGCGTTTTGTTTTTATCTAAACATATTCGTTACCCTCTCCCCGTTCCAACGAGCCCTCATACGTCACAATTGAACCAGTAGCAACGGAGATACGATCTAGCGCCCATTTGACAACGCCGCCATCTTTGTTTTTTGTCTCAACGTGTTCCCCGTCCCCTCCGCTTTCCAACGATACCCAACACGTCACGATCCGACGAGCCGTTTTACCCCCACCATAAAATGAGACAAAAATGACCAGATTGAACCTTAGCGATTTCTTATGGGATTTTACATGGGAAAATACGCCGAACTCTTGTTGCCCTTTTACTCTCATCAGACTTATTGTCCGTTAATCACTGCATATCTTTACATGTTTTTTTGGGTTTCTTGTTGTTATTGTGATAAGTGTCCACTTAGCCAATCAGTTGGTAATATCGCAGTGTCATAAATTCTGTTAATGAGAGCACCCATTGCTTTATTTCCATTTTCTCCCAAAAACTTTAGTATTTCGGCACTTACTTCATCGGGCCCAAGTACTTTACCATTTTTTGTCGTTTCTATTGCCCATGTAACCTCACTTTCTGTTAAAGACGGACCTGTTATAGCAATCGGTTCCTAGTGTTCTACTCTTTTATCTTCAAGTTATTCAGAAATGTAGTCTTTCCATTCTTTTAACTGTTCATTAATGTCTTATATTTTGTTCCTTTTTGTCTAAACTTTGGGATGAGAAAGAAAAGAGAATTCATCAACAGTTTAGCGTGTAGTCAAATATTTTTCGATATTCAAATACTATTATTTCTACATTAAAAACATCACGTTTTGCTTTATTTGGCACCAATCTCTTGCTTTTTTTAAGTTCTTGTACAGCTGTATTTTTTGTATTTAATGCACATATTTTATCCTGTCTGATCAACAAAGGGATTTATATACTTTTTTCTAAAGCTACATTGAACCGGTTTTCTTCGCCAACTTCAAATAAAACACGATCACTCTTTTTATAAATATTCAATGCTTTTTGAACTGTTAAATTGGTATATACGTGTCCATTCATCTGCATCTAATGGATAACGGAAAAATATTCTTTGAAGTAGGTATTTCATTTGTTGTTTTTTTTGCGATAATTTTTTTCCAATTCCCTTATTTTATTAATCATTAACTATTAATCTTATAATGTATCCACCTAAATTTTGTTTTATTGGCATACTTTATCATAAGAAGATAATTTCGTTAATTGTGTACTCTTAAATTTCACTCTTTACGCACATCAATATTATGATAATCGAATCTCAATAAATGTTAACTTTGAATTAATAACGTTACAGGTCTGTCACGTAATCACCAACCACGCGTCTGATAGACTACCAACAATTCATGTTTTTTATAAGCAAAAATTATCTTAGTACTACATATATTTGAGGTCATAAATAAAATACACTTTATACAATGGCATGTTTTATTGACAAAACTTACAACTAACGGTTGTATTTACGACTATAATATACTTACAATATTACATTAAATATTTTAATTACAAAGATTACAATAAAAATTTATTTTTTTATTAGATTTGAAAAACGCAATTATATTCTCATACGTGCAGATCATATTAAGTTTTCACATATATCGACTGGACTGAACTCGTACGTTTTTTTTTATATTCCAGGTAAATTGGGTTGTGGTAGATGCAAGAAAGCTAAGGAGGTTATTTCTGTAATTTTTAAGATAAACGGACAATTTTTTTACTTTTCATCCACGGTTTCAACCTTAGTCTGCGTATAATTTGTGGTATGCTCAATCTCCAATTAGTTCAGAATGGATCTGTTTAAGAATGGTTGGTTGTAGTGAGTCAGATCTTAGTTTCCGGAAAGTTATTTATAATTAATTTAAATACGCCATAACTGAAAAAGTTGTAGAAAATTCATGAAACATTTTCAAAACTTTTATCCGGAATATCTCTCGGGAAGTACAGTATTGTGCGAAGTAATGTGAACAAACATATAATACAAATGATACAATATGATACAAAACAATTTGTAAATATGATCTATTTAAGCCAAAGGTAAATTTAGGTACACTTACATGAGATTTTTTCATTAATTAGTATTTAATATATCCCCCTTTTACTTTTATGATTTGATGGAGTCTTCTAGACATGGAATCCACAAGTTTTTTGCAATTGTTTGTGATTGCTTTATCTGTAAACCACACCTTAATCACTGCTTCCACCTGTTTTGTTTTTGTCGTACAGTCAAATTTTTGCAGTTTAGTCTTACATATTGCCCACAAATTTTCAATAGGATTAAGGTCAGGTGAATTCCCAGGCAAATCAAGAAGGGTAATATTATTATCCTTGAAGTATCTCATCATAACCCTCGATACATGTCACGGAACTGAATCTTGTTGAAAAATTGCAGTCCCTTCGGCCTGTACTTTGTCAAGCTCTATAGCTAAGCGTTACTCTAGCATGGCTTTGTACTTTTCACTGTTCATCGTACCTTCAATAGGAATAAGAGTGCCAGTTCCTGAGTATGAAAAACACTCCCAGAACATTTTTTTGGTGAGATGTTTAACTTTTTGGTTAATATGGCTAGCTGAAAGTGACTCATTGGCTGCCTTTCGTACGAATTTTGATCGCTGGCCCTGTACTAGGAAGTGGGTCTCATCAAAAAATAACTCTTTTCTCCAATCTTCTGCACTCCAATGAGCGTATTATTTTGCCCGATTTAGTCTTTTTTTCATCACAGACGCTGTCAGAAGTTGTTTCTTCTGCGGTTTCACTGTTCTTCTCCCTCCTTCTAAGAGACATCTGCGTACCGTTGAGTCGTGAATTTTTATTCCAGCCTTTTCCTAATCTTGCTGGAGGTCATAACTTGTTTTTCTGGGATGAAGTTTGCTATCGCGCAAAAAAAGGCTTTATCTCGAGAAGTAGTCTTCCGTTTTCTTCCACATTTTCCTTTTCGCTGCACTTCAACTGACCCTGTGTCGTGTTTTTTGTTTAATTATTTTGTTTACTGCACCTAAATTTACACAACACCGCTTTGCAATGTCCCTCTGAGTCATTGGTGTATGCTCACTAAGTATTATGATCCTTTCTCTTTTCCTAGGAGTGATATCAATATTAACAACGATACAAAATACAAAAATGTAATAACGATATAAAACAAAACGCATGTGTTGAACAATATACTAATAAGGTTTTGAGGTTAAGTTGTTTTTTTGACAAAACAATTGACAGAATATGCACAGCAGGTATGCCAACTTATGAAAACTGAATTTCGATCTCTGTTCACATTAATTCGCACAATACGTATATCTACAACAAAAATGGGTAGAGATAAAATCGCTGGTTTTTTACGAATGGAAGGGTTAAAAGTCCGCATTAACTAACATAAGTTGGAAAAAATTTAAAGCTCAGGAACTTTTACAGTAGGTAGCGGTCATATTGTTGAAGCTGCATCTGTTACATTGGCTGGCATTTATTTAGTCTGTTTTCCCAAAACACCATGCATGGGTATAGCGTACAACATGTGTAAATGGCAAAATTGTTTTATCAAAATTAGCAGATCAATATCCTGAATTAAGCACATAAATATCATGGAATTGTTATGTGCTACCAAGTTTAAAACAAATAAATTTAGTCGTCAACACGGGAAGAAATTTCTTGGCATAAATATCTTGGTTGCAAATCACACAAACATGTTTAGATTCCATCTTACACACAATTTACTTAAATATGAATCTAAAGTGCCAATACACAACAATAAGTGCACAATCGCTATTAATGTATTGTTAAAATTTCAAACTTTACAAATATTTCTTAATATATTTGCGTGGATGAATCGTTGTCAATTCACAATAATAACCACACAATTAATATATAATTGAACATTAAAATAATTCACAATAACAGCAAAATTCTTCGAAAGTCTTCGACTTCAGGTAGATAAATCGTTATTACAACTGGAACTGACGAACTTTTTCGTTTAAAATCTTCCTGCAGATAAGAAGCACTACACTACAGGTATACAGGATAGGTTTACGACTCACCAATTTTGCCGTTAGATAACTGTCCCATTCGCACCACCTGAATTCACGTTTCGCCTCTTATGTACTTGTACTCTCATAGTATCTTCCCCCTCTTCTGTCAATGACTTATGCTAACCAGAACCGCCTGTCATTTTACCTATTTACTTTAAATCGTTTAAACACACATATACTTCATCTAATTTACATAACGATGCACGTCATTATCTACGTCAGACATCGAAGTTGACATAGTTGCCAAAGTATAAAAAAATCCTGACTCCATTTTAAATCAAACAATCACATAATTATTGCAAAAGTATTACCATCTCTTTACAACGACTATTTAAATTCTTACGTGTCATTTTTGAAATAAAACAGACTAATTTTGTTCTAAAAACAACAGATTTTATTAAATAGGTTAAAATATGAAACAAGAAGTATTCACTTTAAAATTCAACATAATAAAGTACAAAAAGTGTCAACACCGCAACTGTCAAATAAGTGTTACCAATTTATGTCAAAATTTCACCTTCGTTCGATTGCAGTTACAGTGTGTTCCGAACAAATAATGTTCTTCATAAAAACGCTTATAAAATACTTAAAAAATGAAACATATTATTTTGTATTTCTTTAAGTTAACATTAATAGAAATTTTTAAATATTATTTCAACGCGTATATAATAAAATATGTCTAGTGGCTGTATGTATCGGTATGTAAATTAGATGAAGTGTATATGTAAATTTCAACTTTACAGAATAAAGTCTATTTTCCTTCATATGTGACACACCTTTCGGTTCACCTGTCTGGTACTTGTGCTCATTGAAAACGTCTGAAAACAATTTTTTTTATATTTTCTACAGGACGTGCAGGGCTGATACTGTTCCCATACTTAGCATGCTATGGCTCATTATTATAAGACTTTCTAGCCTTACAAACACGTTACTCTGGTCTATTCCTCCGCCAAGACGGACTCACATGTTTCTCATATCTTATTCGATGGTATCAGGAAATATTTTTCTTCATCTTCCTCATCTCTGCCCGATGGGTTTATCAAGGAGTGTTTTTCTTACTGGATAATAATTTTGCTCCATCCGAATTATATATCGTACCCACCGCAGACGTTATATTTTAATATGTTTGACCATATCTGGTTCCTGGTATATTCTGTACATTTCGAAGTAGTTTCGTCGTCTCCGCACACCACCGTCATTCAGCGTTCTGTAAATTCTCCTCAATACTTTCCTCTTAAAATATCCTAAACAGTTTTCTTTGCTTTTTGTTAGAGTAAGGCTCGTAGCCGTATTATTGGTTTGTAAAACTTTATCTTTGTATTTTTTGATATATTTGAGGACTTGAAAAGCCCAATATAGCATCTGTTGACCATACAAATTCTGCTGTAGTGGTATTTTCAATTTTAATTATAGTGCTCTTAGGTATACAAATTCGTTAACTTCCTCGATGGCGTCGTTTTTTGATCGTTGGATTTGCGGTTCCTTGCTTATCTTCATGTATTTCGTTTTTTTTTGTGTATTATAATACCCATTTTGTTACCCGCTTCTTTTAAAGCTATATATACCTCTTGTACATCTTTTTCCGTTCTTCCAACGATATCAATATTATGCGCATAGCCAAGGATTTGCACATACTTGTAAAATATTTAGAAAAAACAAATGTAGTGAAAGTAATTAAGGGGTTGTATTTTCAAAAAATCTATTTTTTCTATATTCTATATCCATCTGATCTATTTCCATATGAAAGTATAGTGAATCTTGATTTAGCTGAATCTGTGCACAGTTCACCTTTATATTATTGTTTCCTGAAAAAATGAAGTGTAAAGTTTTTAAATATGTTTGAATTAATTTTGGTCTCATACTCTTAGGATTTTTCCGATACTCATCAAAACATTAACAAGTCGATGGACTGAAAATCCCTTCCTTCAACCACGAAATAATACCATAAAGATGAACTATGCAAAGTTTCGCAAAACCACGCGGAAAAAAATCCGAGAAAAACGCGTTTGTCAACGCACAAGTTTTTAAACTAACACACGTAATGACCGCGCGGTATCCAAATCTCTATGACTCCGGTAAATTGTTCGAATTCACTTCAAATTTGGTATGAATACTCTTGAAGTTCTGTACTTTCATATGGAATAAAAATACAGCACCTATGTAACCTCTTAAGTCACAACTCTTTGAATGTGTATATAACATATCATCAGAAAATCGGCAAAAAAGAAGAATAAATTTCGATATTAACGAAAGCTTCACCTACGAAAATCAAGAAAAATATCTGGAGAATGGTGCCACAAAAGTTGATGAAGCAAATGTATATTAACGTTTCATTTGCAGAAAGCCTTAGTATATCCAAATCTAGCTACTTCAATAAAACGTCATTTAAAAGAGATGTTTATTTCTAGAATACAGAATTATATATAAGAAGTTTTTATAATAACAAGTTGAAGTTGGAACAAGTTCCACTGTTCCAAAGAATTTGGAATAATCCAGAATATTAGTCACCGCCATGGAATACATAGCGAGGACCAACAGGTTTATATGAAGACATCAAAACGCAAAAAAAAACTCTTAAATCATAGATGCTTGATTATTAGAAATTATTAGAAATGCTTGATGCCGTGCCACACACTCCACCAATTTACCACTATTCAGGAAAATCTTCTCACATATATTTCAACTAGTTCATTCCCCCAAGTAAATCATTGAACTTTTATTCTGATGACGAAATTACTATGGATTATTGTAATTTTGATCTGTGCTTAAATACTAGATAATAGAAAACATTGAAATAACATCTGTATTTTTTTCTATACATTAATTTACAATACACTAGATCTTCCATCCATCCTATAATAACTTTGAAATATGACGTTTAAAAAAATTGTTTAGGTTGCTTAGATTCAGTACATGAAAATCAAGCACAACATTAAAAACGTTAACATAACAATTCATAACTCATTAATAATATGGTCATTATCTACCCATAAATGTTCACGATTTAATGAAGGTTCAGTGTCACTGAAACAACTGTTGAGATAATTGTTAATACAGTATGTGGAAGTGTAGAAAAAAGCCATTTTTATTGCGTAAAAAAATTTATTTTCAGTAAATACCTATCGAATGCATCAACTATTTTTATATTAAACACTAAGTTGTAGCCACCCGGTATATATAACCAAATATTTAATTACTTTGTCTCAATTCAATTTTAATTCCAAAAAGTAAAGTGAATTTTTAATTATACTATTAATAGACTGCTCCGTGCGTTTTATCAATTGCCTCGAAAATTTTCGCTTCCACACTTACAATAAGCCCATGAATTAAATATAACAAACTGTGCGCCTTACTAAAAATAGCCGACTGGTCACCTGCTGCGTCGTACTACAATTTTGGATTTATTTTTAACAACGTTTTTGTCTAGTTCAATACTTAGTTCAAATCAAACTTGATAGGCAAACACTTACACGAAAGTATTATTCGTTTGCATTTTTAAATATACTTACCTGCATTTTATTCACAGCCACTCCTAAAAATAAAATTTATGTAAATCGATGTCGATGTGGTTTAGTTTATGATTCGTCTGTTTGGTAAATGTTTAATCGACTTTTTAAAATGTTGACGTTGATAAAGAAACTATGATAAAAAAACGCGTGTAATAAGTGCTCCATCATTATTATACGTTTGTACTTTTTGTTATATTATTTATTTTTTGTTTGCGTGGCCAACATCAGACCAAAATTTATAGGTTATGTTTGGATTGTGAGTATAATTTGTTTGTTTCGGCGTTCTGTTTACGCTTGTAATTGCAATTTATAAGATTTTTTAGTTTATATTTATAATTATTATTGGTTAGTCTTATTCTGTTTTAAAATATTTACTACTTTAAGGGATTTTCGGTTAGGAAGGATACAAAGTATGATTCAATTTTAGATTTATTTAAATACACGTGGTAGTGACTACTGCAACCTCATACGGGAAAGTTGTGTTGAATATGATGGAGTTAAAAAAGATTACTAAAAAAATATAAGCAGTTGTTATTTCTTTAACGTTTTTGTAGACCAATTTAACAAAGAAACAAATTTTTGTAGTATATTTTTTCCGTACAGTATTTGTGTACAATATTAATGCTTATTTTCTAAAAAAATGTCTTTTTGCTTAAAAAAATGCTTTCAACATATTTTTTGTTTATATTTGAAGGTTTTTAGTTGTTTAGTTTACGTTAATGAAAGGGTTAAAATAATTTCAGCTGGAAAAATTGTGATAATTTACACACAAATGACAGGTCATATTGTTTTATACTGCTTACTCTTTGTCTCTCTTGCCACAAATTAGCATCATTATTTCTGGTTTTGACCACATCCTCTTCGCACTAATTTTATTATCAAATATTTGTTCTTCAGTTTCATCTTTTTCTTATAATTATTGATAGGTGATAGTGATTGATATTGATAGTATTCCTTGAACACTTCTTATTTTCGTCCTCTTTGTAATGAGTCATGATTTTATATTTTGTTTGTTTTATTTCATCTAGTAAGGTATTTTATGAACCTCCAGTCAATGTCTTGGAGCAAACCTGAATTTAGAATGATTTGTTGGTTAGTTCTAGAATTCTTTATGTTGATGACTATACTCAAATTTTATTTTGAGTAAAATATGTCTAATTCACTATTAGTGTTTAAAGATACATATTTTATTTCATTGCGAACTTACAAATTTCCTGAGAAAATATATTAACATTAGCACATGACAAATCTAAATATAAACAGCATATACTGAGAAAACACAAGGATTGTTTAATATAAAGGAAAAAATCAAGTAAAATAAAGCACTGATGCATAAGATAATCAAAGAAAATAAAACAAATGAAGGAATGTATATAGTAGATTAGCAAAATATGTATAGTAGAAATAAATGAAGGAATTAAAATCACCAAAATACAATAAAGCAATAAACATAACTAGAATAGCCAGAAGCCATTGTAAAAGTAGATCAATCAGACTAAAACATATAACTTTCTAAAAATAGTACAGAATAGGAAACAAACCGATTGGATACTTACTCTGTGCTCTTTGAAAATTAAGCAAAAGTATCACAATAGAAGAATTCGTCTTGAATAGGGTTATTGTACCAAAGAAAAATCACTATTTTTTTAATACACACGATTTTAAGTGTATTTAAATTATTAATTTTAACTGGAGTTTTCAAGTGAACTTAATAATAAAAAATAATGTTCTGCGTTAATAATTCATTGATATTCACAAGGAGCGCCCGGTATTTCCTTTAGTTAAACAAAATCACTCAAATAAGCAGATTAAACAATACTTTTTCCAGTATTGTTAAAAATTGAAATGGATAATATTCCCTATCGCTTCTAGGATGGAGTGAATAATACAACGTAATGTATACAATGTCTTAAATAGTTTTGATCAATGATTAAGAGTTCTACACAAATGTATTACTGGGGGCTCGAATTCTGTTTTTAGTCGTCTTTTTCTTTTTTTTTTTTAATAATACACGCGGGTCCCTTATGCTATGTTTGTGTTTATACTCTTAATTTACTAATTTTTTTCCCTTTTTAGGACTCATTTACGGGTACCCTAAAAGAGGAAGAGGTATCTACTTCTGATAAAGATAAGAACCCTAAATCTACAGAAAGTCCATCGAATAAGGCTGGACCATCGGACAAACCTAAATTAGGAAAAGCCAGTGCTTTTACACCTACCCGTGAAGTGGTTGTTATATTGGACGAAGCTGTTCCAGATAAAAAGTCAACGGTTAAGGAAATAGCAAATATAATTAGAAAGTCTACTGAGAAGTCTGTAGAGTCTGAGATTATAGAAATCGAATCTGAAGATTCACAATTATCCGAAAAAGCATCGGAGACAGCTCAAAATGTAAAGGAGAATCAGGAAAATCTTAAAGTGACGCAAGAAGAGCCAGTACAGCTTATGGAAGTCGATTCTGTGGAAACAGAAACAAGTTTCGAAAAGAAAATACCGGTACATAAAGTTAAAAGCGAAACTGATATTAAAGGTTCCAATTCAGAAAAAGATGAATTAGAAACTGGAAAATCTGTGTTAGACGCTGATGGGAAAAGTTCTCTGTCCATATTGGCGCCACCAGCAACACCAAAACTATTTTCACAATTAGGTAAGTTTATTTTTTTATAGTTCTTCGAGTAGTTACTAATTAGAAGTTAATACAGCTATTCAAAATAAGGTGTGTGTGACACATAGATACAGTATGTTAGGAATTAAGAGGAACACAAATAACAATTTGAAATAAACAGCATTTACTAGTTATAGTTGAACAAAAAATAATACAATTTCAATTGTTTTATTAGGAAATATCCCACCCTTCACTTTTATAGCTTCTTGAATGGTCTCTTGTACATAATTTTGGCTATTTTTTATTTACAATTGTTTGAATCTCTAAATAATAGTCTAGATAGATAGATAAATAGATTTTTGTTTACCTCTAAATAATGATTCAGATAGATAGATATATGATATATTTACTGAGGAGGCCTAATGGTCCAGATATTTGCAATTGCTTATTGGGTCCCCTTGTCTTATTCCGCTGCCTATTTCTATAGGTTCTGTAAGATGTCCATCTATTCTGACTTCCACTTTGTTGTTTTGGTAGATATTTTCGATAGTTTTTATAATATTTAGGAGAACTTCTATATTATACAGAAGGTGGATTACATCTTTTAGTCTACCTCTGTCAAATGTTTTCGTTAGGTCAATCAGACACAGAAATGCTGGTCCATTATACTCTAGTGATTTCTCAGTAATTTGCTTTATAACGAATATTGCATCTTTACACAATATTCCACTACTAAAACCTTGTTGTTCATCTGCTAAACTTATCCTCTCATTTATTAGTATATGTAAAATTTTAGTTGACAAGTTTTAGGGCAGTATTTAAGTTTATACCTGTGAACTTTTCTGGCTGTTTTTTATCTTCTTATTTGAATAGTAGAATTAGTTTGCTCATTCTCCATTCTTCCAGTTTTTTATTGTGTTTTATAATTTTATTAATTAATGTTGTTAATTGTTCTGTCATTGCTGCTCCACAATATTTCAGTAATTACCTGCTGCTTTTCTGTTCTTTAGCTACTAGTACTACAAGTGATCTTATATATTCCAAAACTTCGCTAATGGGTGATACAATGGACCCATCTTACAGGTCTAGGTGTCTGAAGGGCTTCTACCTACCCAACTTAGTGCTAGGCTAAGTAATGGAAATCTCTTAATATGTTTATTAAATCTGTAGGAATAAATCTGCATTTTTCAAGCGGTTAATTTATAATATTTTGAAGTACATCTAATTTTAAAATTTTAAAGATATTGTTGAATTTATGATTTTTTATTATTAAATAATTGGCATATGTTGGAATGGTTTTACCTTTGACAAAACTAGGTCTATATTACATTATTAGATTTTTAAATTACTTCCTGTCTGACCTATATATACATTTGGACATGTACCACAAGTGATATTATATATATTCCAGAATTTAGTCATCTTTATCGTTACTTTCTATATATTTATCCAAAGTATTTTTGGTTTTAGAGCTGTGTTATTCTCTTTTTTAGTTTGCAGTATTTCTACTTGTTGACCTATACGGACCTTGATATTCTTAAAAAACATAGCAATAAACAAACATACATACATACATATAATAATAGAGAGTTGTAAATGGAATAATAAAGAGTTTCTTGTTAATTTTTTCATAAAATATTACTATTGACCAATTGTGTTTTCAATAAAAGAAAAACAAAATCAAACTGGTAAATAGAAGTATTTAACAATAAAACAAACACTTCCACAAAATTTATTATAATTTATTATCATTTCAGCTGTTTCGGCAGAATACCTTTCTCCAGTGATATATTTTTAATACACTTTATAGACTTCAGCTGAATAAGATGAGAAGGGGAGAGCTGTTTCTCTAGTTGGTCATTCAGAATTATATCTGCATTTTTTAATTTGTGTATTTCCATAAATTCTAATAAAGATAGCCTAAGGCCTTTATTTTGAATATAGAGAATTTTCAATTGGTCATTAAAAGAATGATTATGATCTAGAAGGTGAAGTGCGTACAATCTGTTTTTCTATTATTGAAAGCCATTTTGTGTTCTGCTATATGTTTGTTATAGATTCTACCAGTTTGACTGATATAAATAAGTTTTGGGCAGTCACCACGTGTAGTTTGAATACACCACTGTTTAAGTGCTTTTACTTTTGGTCTTGGTCTTAATATATTTGTTATGTTGTTGTTAAGTTTTTAATTAAGCTGGTATTATTCTTTTCTTTTCTATGTTTTTGGCTATTTTTTTATATCTTGCCTGTATATGTAATCGAGCAGAAGGTACTTTGTTTTTTCTCTTCTGATGGAGAGAAGACTAATTTTAGGGCTTTTTTCTGCAGTTTTTGTTTTTATATTAGTCTTCTAGTAGGAAATTAGTCTTCCTACCAACAGAGAAAAGACAAAGTATGTTCTGCTCAATTACATATACAGGCATGTTATCAACAAAAATATTAGAACACACAAAAAAGAAAGGAATAACACTTCTTAATTAGCAACTTGAGAAAATATATTAAGAACAACAAGGGCCAAAAGCAAAAGCACTTAAACAGCTGTGTATACAAACGTACACGTGGTGACTGCCCACAAACTAGAATTAGTCAAACTGGTAAAACCTTTAATAAACATATAGCAGAATACAAAATGGCTTTCAATAATAAACAAACAGATTCTATGTACGCACCTCAACTTCTAGATCATAATCATTCTTTTAATTACCAATGTCAAATTCTTCATATTCAAAATAAAGGCTTTAAGCTATCTTTATTAGAATGTCTGGAAATTAATAAATTTAAAAATACAGATATAATTCTGAATGGTCAACTTAAGACAAACAGCTCCCCCCTTCTTAATTTATTCAGCTAAAAACAATAAAATATAGACGCATAATAAAAATAGATCACTTGACGAAGGCAAAAGAAGAGGCAAATACTTACAATCCAAATTTATTTTTTTATTGTTGGTAAAAACAATATGTATCCCATCATTTTTTGTAACCCCGAATCCAGCTGCTCTCTTTTTACCAACAATAGACAAATAATTCGAATTGTGAGTACTTGTCTTTATTTTTGCCAAGGTATGGTCTGTATGGATATTTCATTTATTGTTGTATCTGGTTTCAGGTACCTCACTACCTAAATCTTCCAATCCAGAAATATCTTCAGTACCTTGTAGCAGTACCACCATTCCCTCAGAAGTCATGATTGTTGATGAAGAAACTAGAATGAGCGCTGAAACTAATAGCAGAGCTCAGACTCCAGCCAAGCAGGTTTGTATTTAACTAAAATATTTAAATATTTTCTTTATTTTATGTTGTATTTTAAACATTGTATGAGCGGGAATTTCTTACGTTTCGAGTTTATTGAAGATCTTTTCCTTACGTCTCTCTGTATGGTGTATTCGATGAAGTATAGCATAATATACCTTTTCATTTTCCCTGATGGTTATACTTGATGTTATATGTGATGTTTTTTTAACATAGTTCCGATCATATGTATTGTTAAAACATTAATACTGTCCCTTCTAGATTTCTTAAATAAATATGCATGTAAAAGATTGTACCTACAAACTAAAGAACAAGTATAAAATGATAAGAAAAGGACAAAATATAAAAGGATATAAAATTGCCGATTGGAATACAGGTATGCAAAATATTAGACATGACCAAATAATACAACAGGGAATAAAGTTGAAGTCTTTAAATTTTGAAATCTCCAATTATCCCGTTAAAAGTGAGTTGACTAACCATAGTCATAGAGGATCGTCAAAACAATGCAATTCTTCAACGTATATTATGTACCCATAGTACAGTTTTAAAACAGGAATTTGAGGAATAATGTCGTATACAAGTGAAACACTATTAGAGAGAAGAATTACTTAAACAAATATTAGAGAAAACAGAAAGAAGAATACTCTGTAGGGTAAAACATTATAAATGAACATTATTATCAAGATTACTCATACCCTTTCTACGCTACTAGTTTCTATTCCGTAAAGGTACATAATATGTTCATTTTTCTTTTTGAATATTAATTCATTTTTGCTTATCTTTATCTTTCTGTTTAGTGTGGTGGTTCGAGTTATTCAAATGATAGTCCCTGTGCGTTAGTTTTCGGTATACTCTGTGTCGTACAAGTTTTTCGTTCTACTAAAATATCTAAAAATACAATACGTTTGTTGTTACCATTTATGAATATTTTAACCAATCTAAGAAATTTGTTTATTCACCCCCCAAGTCTGTCGCTCCAAACCACAAAAGTCCACATATCGGAACTATCACCGTTGACCTGATGCTGTTGGTCCATGTACGTCAATCAACCACAAAAGATCAGTCGGTCCGTAAAATCCAAATGTGATGATAAGACAGTGACAGGTTAAAAAGGATTGTAATGTCGTCTGGGAACTGTTGACTAATGTATTTTAAGGTCTCGCCAACCGGTACCATAGTAAAAAATGAAACAATGTCGAAAATCACTAATCATTCGATATTAGTGTGATCTTTATTTTTTCGATAATATGTGTAGAATCTGTGACGTAAGATTCAGACCTGCCAATGGATTATTTTAGCAACATTGCTAGATATTTTGTGATACATAGGAGAGCCAATGTTGTTGTTCGGTCATCCGTACATTTTTCCTAACTTGTCCAATAAAACTAGCTTGGTCAAGTAGATCAGTTTTTGTTGGGTCGTGTTTCACTTTTTGTAAGTGTTCTTATTCAGTAGTTGTTTAAGTTTTTTATTAGAGTCCTCTGACTAAGATAAAAGATATTTAAACTATATGAGGAAATCAAAGATTAACCAAAGATCCAAAAGAAAAATTTTCTACTCCTGAAAGTCACCCCATTCTGAATTAGTACTAAGTAGTAAGAAAGTACTAAGTAGTAAGAACGTACTAAGAAAAACACTCATTATTAAACGAATATCGTAACATCCATAATGACTGGATAATGAAACATCTCTAAGTTAGCGTGTAGTCAAGTAATCAAAGAAAATTATTATTACTTGTGATATACAGATGTACAGGAATATAGTTTTGTTTGTTTCATTGATTATAAAAAATATTGATATTGTGCAAAATCAGAATGAAAACATGTATATGTGATAACAAAACACCAGAATACACCACAAATATAAAAGTCGAAAGCTTACAGGATGACTCCACATGATACCTATTACCGTTGATTGAATAATCCAAATAGATCCGCAACGCTTATGGAGAGAAACGTGCAACCCAAAAAATTAAAATTTCATCAAGAATCAGCGCCTCTAGTGGATATTACGGGAAACAACTAGTTACGAATTTGCGCTCATACGAGAATGATCGTAGAAAGAGCTGCCGTTACCTCCCCTATCGACCCCTTCCACAATTAATTTATGGCAGTACTTACGAAATACGAAGTGTAGTGAGTCAGAAAACTGGACATCACCCCAGCGTTATCTCTGATTTCTAAGAAATATGTCTGTGAAGCATTTAGCACTTCGCCAACGTTTGAATTTAATTTGTCGATATTATATTTTGTATACAGATACGATAAAGATCGACTGCAATGAAAATTATTTGATATGTAATTTAGAATGTTAATAATTATAAAATCAAGGGGTGCCCGATCTAATTTTGTTGTGACTATAATTAATTAATAATTTAATAATAACTTATTTTATAAAGAAAATTTTGCGGACAGATATTATTCTAGATTCATTCAAAACAAAAAAGTGCTTTTTTAATTTTTGTTCTTAAGCTGATTGTTTTCAAGTTATAAACAATTTAAAACAAAAAATAACGAGAGATGATGATCTTCAAGGCTTAGAATAATTAAGTTTCACTTCATTTTTGAAATTATGAAGTACCTAAGTTCAAGCTCAACATTATTTTATTAGGTCTTGATAAGTATTTTGGACTTTCATTTTAAATCATTGTTTTTTAATTATTAATGTAGCCCAGCCCAGTCTTCCCACAAAGAACCTTCCTCATTAACAATTAAAAAATATTTGCAAAAATTGAAAACATGCATAATATGGCAAACATTCTTATCAGGACTTGATACAAGAAATTTCGCATGTTTGTACTTGATGATTACAAAATTAATATTTTTGCTTGTGTTGTGAGCCTTGAAAATCGAAATTTTTCTTTTTTTCTTTTTAGTTTTAAATTATTTAAAACTCGAAAACGATCGACTTCAGAGAAAAATTACAAATGACCTTTTTTTGTTTCGAATGATAAAAATAAAATAAAATAATATCAGCCCAAGCCGAATTTTTATTATACTTCGAATCTCACCTGGGTGGAGAAATTTTCGTTTATTAAAAATTAATGAATGAAAATACTTTACAAAAACTTTTAAAAACATTGTATTTTTTTTCTGAAAAAACAAAAACTACAATCAACACTTTTACAGTTAAGATATACAATAAAACCTCCCTTAAGCGAAACGTTTTTAACCGAATCATCGTTTGACCGAAACGCTGACAGTTTCAATAATTTCGTCAATAAAAAGTAAATTTTTATCGCAAAATGTAAATTCCATCAATTTCACTCACCGATTGATGCATATGTGTGTTGGGAAATCAAAAAACCAAGAGCTCTAAAAGATATTTGAGAAAAAGCACTTCCTTTTTTGTTATAGAAGTCAAAAAAGCTAATGGATGTCGACCACTGTATTTTCAGAATGGTTCGAAAATAAATTAGTCCCAAGCGTAAAATCCTTTTTAAAATAAAAAAACCTTCCTATCAAAGCATTGTTGCTTGTTGACTCAAAATCTATATAATAGTGATAATTGTCAGATTTTTGCCACCGAATGTCACGAGCTTAATTCAGCTGTTAGACCAGGGACTAATAAAGACATTCGAGAGACATTATAGAGGAGCATTCGTTATTACAGGAGACAAATGAATCCAAAAGTGTTCCTGAAATCCTCAAATGTTCAACAATGAAACATGTTGTTTATCGGTGTGCTGAGTTCTGGGCCAAGATCAAATCTTCAACTTTGGAAAAATGCTGGAACTAACTTTTTGATAGGATTTTGATTGACGATCCTGAAGAAGAAAATGGCAAAGAAACGACAGAAAAAATTAAATCTCTGATAAAAAATTTGCCGGGATGTGACGAAATTAAATAAGAAGAGATACGTGAGTGGTTAGCAGAAGACGATTTAGAAAGTGAATTCATCGACCAGGACATCATTGATATGGTTCCTCATCCAGACAACCTGAGCGTATCAGACGACGAAGATGACGACCCAACAGACAACAGGCAGCATGAGACCGCCGACGAGATTTTCAATGCTTTAAGGACAAGAATTTTATACAGTAGGCTTAATATGTTAGGGAGACGACTAGGTTCTTAATTTTTGTTATCATTGTATAAAGTTTTGTCCTTTTCAGATTGCTTTACGTTTCGTCTAACGATAAAAAGAGGCAAATTCACGACGTTCTGCAAAGGAACGATGGAGATATATAGCTGCAAAATATCGTTGTCAAACGATAACATAAAAGAAAATAGAAGATTTCTTTAAAAAACTTAGGTAACCCTAATGGAAGACACGAAAATGGGGTAGGTATAATCTTAAATCAAGAAACTGCCAGACATGTTAAAAACTTTGTACCTATATCGGAAAGAATACTCCTCCTTCAACTTAATACCTACCCAATTATATCTAACATTATCCAGGTATATGCCGCTACTGCTGACAAACCGGACGAGATAAGTGAAGCATTTTGTAACGAACTAACGAACACCTTAAAACCATCCATCCAATGGCACTACAGCCCAAGCCGGGCCTTGGCCTTCTTCATTAAACCTCTCCAAACATCTCTATTTACTGCTGTTTTTTTCCATGAACGCGTTTTTAGGAGATTTTTGGCATCCTCATCTACCTCGTCTTCCCATCTCTTTTTTGGTCTTCCAACAGGTCTTTTTCCTTGCATTCTTGCGTTTAGTATTTTTCTGGGGATTCTGTTCTCATGCATGCGGGCCACATGCCCTGCTTATCGTAATCTCTGCAGTCTAGTGTATTGTGCTAGTGTTGGTTCAGTGTATTCTTCGTATATTTCGTTATTATATCTAATTCGCCAGTTGTTATTTTCCTTTATTGGACCCAGTATTCTACGCAATATTTTTCTTTCGAACACGTCTAATGCATTGGTATATTTCTGTGTTATAACCCATGTTTCACACCCATAACTTACTATGGGTCGGATTACTGTTTTATATACCCGGAGTTTTGTTTTCCGGTGTACGTCTCGCGATTTGAATATGTGGCCCATCGCG